TTTATTTAATAAAATTGTTATTATATAGTTTATTATATTAAGCATTGAAGATTTATATAATATCTAGGTTGCAAAGTATATGTTCTAGAGGCAAACACACAGGAAAATATTGGAATTATTTTACAATTTAACAATAGAAAATTTAAATTTAAAATATTATTTTATGAAATATTTCATGAAATATACATATTCTATTTCCAAATATAATAATAAGAAAGAATATAAAAGTAGTTATTATACATTTAGTAAATAAAAAATATGATTAAGTTGTTTTCATGTTTATTACTACTTTAATTTTCGTATTGTAGGAAGAGTTGTATATATTTACGTAATTTGTAACATATCTTAGAAAGGATATTTCACATCGTCTGCACCGTTCTTAGGTAAAGGAATGACAGATGGCAATCTAAAGACAATTTAATTAAATTTGCCTAATACGTTATAGAGCTGCGCGCTGATTGCCACAGTGGCTATCTTTGACGTCTGCGAACGGAAGTTTACTCGGAGCCTTCCTATCGTGTCTGAATTGTAGAACAGAAGTAAATAGTTGAAACACATTCTTTCACTTCTAAATTTTATTCTTTATTAACGTAAAGTATTAATTAGATGTTAATAATGTTTATTTTTATGACAAAAAAATTGAATATAAGTATATGTACTTAAACATACATAATAAAAAGTCAATTTTAAGTAAAAAATATAATGTACATAACTAATTCTCTCCTATTTTAATTTAAAATTAATAAATAATTATTTATATATTAAAATAAAAAATATATCTATATTATATTAAATGTTTGTTTGAAAATTTTTTAACCGTTATCACAAGGAGAATGTTTTTTATTTGTCATATTTCCTTTTAATTATAGGTTTCTGTATCAATTTGTCGATTAAAGAAAGATATGACAAATAGGAAATATTCTCCTTCGTGAAACAGATGAAAAGTTTTTAATCGAAAATATTATATAATGTAATTTGATTTATTTCAATAATTAATTTACTGTCTTTTAATTATAATAGAAAATAGTTATGTACAAATATTTTCCTATAAAGCTGACTTTTTAATCTAATTCTAATCTAATTTATTCCCTGATTTTGGTTACTCATTCTTATTACCTCATTTATCTTCGTGACTATCCAAACGCCGGGGAACATTATCGTTTATTTATCAGATATAACGGTGCTGTGCCGGATTGTCGTTCAAATATTTATGCTTTAAGTGAAATATATCTCTTCTGATCAACGTCAAGGTGCAGTAGCGTTTTCTGTTTACGCCAAGTTGCCTCTTCATATTGCGTTGCGTAACATCCACATTTCGATCCCTTCAACGTCTTTTACTCGGAATATTACGTAAAAACGTCTGGGTAAAATACATAAAATTAGGAAAATGAGGCTCAATAAGTGATCGATTGTTATTTTTACGTAAGTAAACGTAAGGGTGTCAGTATTTTTTGCACGCGTATTCTATGGTGCTTGGAAAACGAGGTCACGTGTATACGTATGGTGAAACGATGATTGGTATTGCAAATAGAAATGACTTAATCCAATTTAGAGAATCTGCGCTTCGCCGCTTGCTGAAGTTGTGCATATAGATGGACGATAAATCGAAATCTTATTGGCTCGTTAGTAGTCTCTAGAATCTTCGGCCTTTATCAATTTAGATCTCCATCTAATAAAATCGCTCTATTGGAGATCTACTCAAAATATGTGTTGTATTATATAAATTTCTAAATGCTGGAAATACATGTATATGCATACATATATGTATGTTGTGTGAAAAGATCATTTTAATAGCGACGATAAACCTAAAAATCTCTTTTGTGTTTATACGTGATATACATACATAAAATATCAATTGGATTTTATAGTGTTAGTTGACAGTTGACCCCTAAATTGCAATCTGTTTTTTATAATCCTTAAAAGAGTATTTCTGTTATTGATTTTATCACTTACCGATATTGTTTGGCAATATATTTTAAACGATGTTAAAAGATTAGTTCGTTATGCGTTTGTTATTTTTCGTTTGGAAAGAGAAATTTAGATAATTTAAAGTTATCTATGTTTTAAGATAGATAGATAAAGCTTTTATTCTTGAAAATCTTTTTTTTATTTCTTTATAGTGTTTAATATATGTACAATCCAATATATGTACATTCATATTTTAGCATATTGTGATAGACTTAATTGTTTTCTTTAACTTTTTTGAAGAGAGACAGTAATACTCGATCAGTTTTTCAGAATGACTTAAAATATGTGATTGCAATTTTGAACTTATCTGACTTCAACTCAAATAGTATGGAGCATTGTCATGGAAAGCGCGAAAGAGAAAGAGAGAGCAGCGCTCGTAAAACAGTCGTTTGCTACGAAGATGAAGAAAGGGGTTGTACGCAACATTTTCATCCTCACACGGGTCAAGATGAAGATGCCCGGATGTGAATTTACGATATTACTGGGCGGGTTACCTCATTACTTTCTTTTCTCACAGTATGATAGATGTACATATACCTATAGCTTTGAATGCCATTTTCTGCTATCGCAATGCTACTCTGTTACACAAGTTTTGCAGTTATCGCAATAGAAAAATTATTAATAAAAGTACAAAATCTTTATTAAAATATACGAAAATATAATATATTTAGTAACATATACATATATATATATATTCCATATTTCATATAAACTTATTATCTTTTTCTAAAAATATTTTATATGTGTAGTTTATTAATAGCAATAATTCTACTCTGTAACGAATAAAAAATATGCGAGACAATAGCAAAGAAGAAACAAAATTTTTCGATCGATTTTGGTATTTCTTTAATATAATTTAAGATTTCAATAATTGTTCCACGTTTCAAGATTTCTTCTACGTAAAAATGCTATCTAATTAAATTTATTTATCTTAATTAAGCTAATAAAAAAAATTTTGTTATTTTGCAAATTTGTGTGCTAATAATGGGATCCGGAATTAATAAGATTTTCTAGGTTCTTATTAGGCCATTATTAAATTTGTTTTCGCATAGCTCTATCAAACTTTTATTTTCTAAGAGACATATTATTATTTATGTGTTGCTGCTTCACTGAAAATAAATTTTATTAAATTTATTCTAACATCTATCTATTTTGGCTTTATCTGCTTATGTTATGATTTAACTAACAATTAATTTTTTATATTTTTAACTTTCATGATTTGGGATTATAAAATGTAATATAAAAAAGACTATACATATAATAGAAGAGGTACAAGAAAAATATATATTTGATTCAATTTATTTCGTAATACAATATACATATATATATGTATACATATACTTATTATAAAATAAACTAAATAAGATATATTCGTTTTTTATACATAACAGCTAATTTTTTAAAATGTTATAAAAAAGGGAAATATACATCGATAAAGAAATATTGAACATATGATTTTAAATAAACTGTAGTTACAAAAAATAGAATGCGCATGGAAATGTCTTTTATTTGCATGATGCCGCTTTAAATTTGATTGTGATAAATACAAAGTATTTTTATATTAACAGTGATAAAAGAAGTTTAATTATCGCCTTGAAATTTAAATAGGCTTGATATTAAATGAACTGGCAAGTTTTATTAATATTATTTGAATTATTAATTATTAAGAAAGCATGGGTAGATGCTAACTGTTTTGGATTCAACTATTTTAAGATTCTACAATCTATGTTATAGCGTAGTACAAAAAATCGTGACAATTGTTTTTACATAATGGATATGTAAAATATACTTTCGAATAATCGATTAGTGATATATATTTGCATATTGTTTTGCATGAGTCGTTTATATTCATTACACAATATTCATGATGTACTCTTCGATTTTCCAATTACTTTTTGATACTAGAGCTTCGAAAAAAATAATAGCGCAGTCAGGAATGTATTTATAAGAACAAAATTTTTTTTAAATACAAAATTCTATGTGATTCAGGAATCAAGTCTGCATGATCAATTATACATCCTAGTAATAAACTAAGTTTTTATAAATACTTTAAATAATAAAATAATGATACATAATAATAAGTTGTGACAATTATTTATGCAATATATTCTGGATAGCGCTCTGTATTGGAATCTATGTTTGAAAAAGAGAGAATGCTGTTGCAAGTAATCGTTATTGTGAAAATTACGTTCATAAATATTTTAATATAATTTCTATATTTATTAATATTTAATTCTAGTATTTAATTTTATGAAGTATTTTAAACAAAAGAAGAAAAAGAAAGCTATTTGATATTTTCATTAAATAGGAAAAGCTTTTTTATAGATTTTATTACGTTTTTTAAATATATAATTTTTCTTTATAATTAATTACATATTTTTGGATCTATATTTCAAGTATTTATAATTCCTCAAACATCTATATAAAATTCAATATCAAGAATTGAAGGATTATAAGAATTAAATAGGTGTTGACGTTTTCGTTTCAGTAGCGAATAAATTTAAGCGGATTTCTACATCCATGTAAATGACTTTTCATCAACACAGCCGCTCTATTTCTCTGAAACGAGATCATAAAATATGCCAGAAGTTCTGTTATCTGTCTGAGAAGTAATATAAAAGTGACATAATTTATTCTTTTCTAGATTAGACCATGTTTGATTCACGCATTGTCAGTCCGTAATAGTTTATTATTTTATCTTATATCACATCTTAGTCTAATTGAAGTATTTTTTACATAATTAAAAATTTTACTTTAAAAATAGAAATGATTTTGTTAATAAAGTAAGAATTGTTCTTTGTACCTATAATAGTTACAGAAATTCTATGAATTATTTTTCTTTGGAAATATAATCTTCTTCTAAATTTGTGTAAAAATACAAAATAGAAATTTATAGTAATCACTTTAATATTAATGAACACCGTTAATAATTTAACAATGTCTGATATCAAAACCAGTAACAAACATTCTTCAATAAATTTGTATTTCTTCGGTTTTGTTTAAAATACTTCGTAAAGTGAAACACATAACAGTCGTTTGATCGCGAGTACTTATGTGCTGAGCACAGACATGTCGATGTACTTCTTCCGGCTGCACAACCTGCGCCGTCAGGCGGAGGAGGTACGGAAGAAGCGACAAAAACGTGGCAGAGGCAGCCAGGGCGGACAACTTGGGACCAACCAAACGGACCAGTCTCAACCGACGGCTGGATCCATGCAATGCTGCAATCGGATTCATCGAGGCCCTAGCAGGCTCTTCGAGCGGGCCCCTTTACAACCTAGCGACTCGCTTGACGAAATCGCCTTTCAAATACCGAGGTAAACTTTTAATTTGCACGCTTCTGCATCGAAATTTCCTTTGTCATTATATGTGGCCGCTCCTATTATATTTAATTGATATCCTTTGGATAATTATAGCTTGTAATTTACATAGTAATGAGAATTCTTAGTTTATTAATATTTAATTCATTAACTTATGAGTACTTTAATATATATATACATAAATATGTGTGTGTGTATAATTTTTTTGATCTAAGTGTATTAATTATGCTTTTGTAAATATAATTATTTTCTGAAAGATATTTATGCATTAGATTTTTTCAGTTAATGAATAATGATACAATTCAAAAAACAAAGTTTTCCAAAAAATAAGTTTGAATATTTTGAATTAATTATTATTGAATTAAATATTAAAATTTTGTAATATTAATTTTGAAATGCAACTTTGATGTAATAACTGATTATAGAAAAATAAAAATATGTGTAAATAAAACAATGTAAACTTGGACTCTTTTAATTATAAAAATAAAATACACTTTTTTTTAGAGGGCTAATTTGGAGATAGCGCGGTAAGAAGTGCGCAATTTATATTAAAGAAAACATTAATAGAATAATATGTATTCAGATGTTAATTTGAACGTTTCGACTATCGGTTTTAACTCACACATTGACAACATCGATTCATACCCTTTCAGTATCTGTTTAATAACATCATGTTTATTACACTCTCAGACGTGAAACAGTCAAGAACATCGAGACATTGTGTTTCTAAATCTCTGTGCAATATGTATTATGAATTTTTCATCTACTCAATTTATATTATACTTTAATGCGGCGTTACGTGGATTTTGAGGTAAGCACATTCTTTGTACAAATTTTAACGTTTTTACACAATATCTTTTAATTTACATTAATAAAACTTAAACACTTGCTAACCAAGAAGACTGACAACTTCTTTGTACGATGTTTGTGCTTTTCTCACTTTCCGACTAGAAAGAAGTTTGATAACATCTTATATTTCCAACGATAAGAAGACTTTCTTTGTTAATATATTAATATTGTATTTGCTGAAGATGGCTAAAACCGATACCCGAAACGTTCAAATTAACATCTGAATACACATTATTCTATTAATGTTTTCTTGAATATAAATTGTGCACTTTCTACCGCGCTGACTCCAAATTAGCCCTCTAAAAGTGTATTTTATTTTTAAAAATATGTGTTTTTAAAATAAGTTTCTTCTTTATGTTTTTGTTCTTTTTATGTAACTGAAAAGTGACAACTTTTAAATTACATCATTATTGCAGAAAATGAGTGAAATGATTTATATAATTTTTTTTTAAGAAAAAAGAAATTATTAATCTTAGAAATAATTAAGATTTTCCTATATACGTTTTATAGTACGTTTTATAAGAACTTTAAATTATAGACATTTACATAATATCTTTAATAAGAAAGGTTCAATATGATAAGTCATGAAAATTGGAATCGATTGCAGTCTATCATTTAAATGCAATCATGACACGATTTATATTCTAATCTGCTTAACGGATTCGTTAAAACTTTATCCGTTGTTTTGGGTTTTCAACATGAAACATCGTTTTACATTTCAAGAATCAACTTGATAAAGCAATTCGCGCAATTTAAAAATGTCAGCTTGCGAAAGCTTATCTAGTTCCTTTACGATCCAAATGCAATTCTCATCCTGATCTTGGCGTGAAATGAAAGTCGTAAAGCATCAAGATAGCAGCAGAACGTTCTACTTCCTCAGAAGGGTCAAAGGTCAAGAAATGTGACTACTCAGAAAAGAAAATGCAAAATTTATACAAACATGAAGAATTTGAAATAAATATAAGTTTCATTAAATCGTCAATATAAACTTGTGTTCTTATTATCATTGTGTAATTTTTATATACAAAAATATGAAGAAAAATAAGATGCTCAATAAGAAACACACTAATGACTGTATTATCTTGAATTTTTTATGTTTTTTTTATGAATTGACTGTACCTACACATAAAATAGATTTCCAAATAATATTCTTCTCAATACTAAATGAATTTTTATATATACTGATAAAATTATGTATATAAAACTACGTATATAAAAAAATCGAAAAGTTTTAATAAATCAATGATTAGTTTAATGATTAGTAAGATGTTTCATAAATTAAGAGATCATTAAAAAATAATTTTTAAATTATAAGTTAGATAACATTTAAGAAATAAACATTTTTAGTTATCTAAACTTATAATTTATTAGAGATGTAACATATTTTTTAATGATTACTTCTTAATTGGCATAATATTACATAATCAATTTTATTTTGTGCATCTACAATGTACTTCTTTTTTACTTACGTAACAATTCTTTTTGGAACGGTAATGACGTAAATAAAGAACCATTTGCAGGATAAACTGAAGTCATGATAAATACACTTTGCGGTTTGTAAAGCTATCAGTTCTCTTTATTTTGCTTCATTCAGTAAAGGGAAGATACAGTGACAAGGCGATATTACTCCCTTGCGGAACTCTGGGCTACGTAGAAGTCGAACTTTTAATTTGTTTAATTATGTTTAGCTCCTGAGAGTGCTCGTGGATGCAATCCCCTCAGGATTAGCCCCGCTTTCTTGTTTCCAACGAGCGAAAGAACTCGCTTAGTTGACGGAATTTCTAGAGGCAAACCCACTGAGTCGCGGTTGACTAGTTGGGAGACGAGAAGATGGAAAATGATGGTAGAAAGAATTGGATTACTCTTCGATACGTCGACTATGTTCCCGCCTAGCCCACAAAACTTTCAATCCTATCGTGAGATTGTCACTATTGCGCGTCTCGTAAATTGAAGACAATTACGCGAAAACAACACAACTATTGACTTCCTGATTTTTTCAGATATATTTTAAAATAAAAAATAAATTAATTTATGAATACTGAAAACGTTAAAACAATGCGCAGGACGGTTTAGCATTTATCATTTAATGAATGCTTCGACAATTAATTATTTAACATTATCGCTGCAAAAGTATAAAGAGTTTGAAGCAAGGTATTTTATTATATTTTTTTCTTATTCAATTCTTTATGTAATTTTTATTATTGTTTCAAGACATTTTAATTAATAATTAATAACAAATAGTACTGAATTAGATTTTTCAAATAATATTACTTTACAATTAATTAAAAAATTCCAAGATATTCTGCAAAGTTACGAGAATTAAACTTTCTTTTAATCAATATGTACCCTGTGCTTTGCATAACAAAGCCTTTCATCAGATTTTAAGTTCAATCGTGCTCTTCGACGAGCGATTCGACGAGGGATTTATGACATGATAAAGGATTCAGTAATACCGTAGGAATTCAGTAACGAGGTCCGAGAGGTCTAGAAGAAGCAAAAAGTGAATAGGTAATCTCTATAGTCGTAGTTCTGCCGCGCCCATGAGAACCAATCACGAACACACCCCTTTGTCAAAGCTTACCTATGTCATTTATATTGACAACAAATTTATGTCAGATTATTTTAATTTAACGAGAGCGACGGTGCGACAAAGTGATACAAATTCTCGATTGTTTACATTACATTATAAAAAAACAAACACACACACACACAGTACTAAATTTTTCTTAAACTTTTATATCTAAGAATTAGAAATTCTTTTTTTTTGTTTTTAGTGTTCATATAAATAATGGAACATAAATAATATAATATTTTGAATAATATAATATCTTAAAAATAAATTTATTAAAAAGTACAATTTTTTTAGTTGCATATTTTGGCAGAATATACACTTTAATTTAATATTCACTTGTCGTTATTAGCGTGTTGAGACAAAATTATGGATATCAAGATATTTACTTGACAAAGAGGTATAGTACACCTACTTGTCAAACAAATATCTTGAAGAGTATACTAATTAATCAATGTCCGTCAATTGACGTTGACCTGAAAATGTCGCATAAATGATGAATTTTTGTGTAACTTAATCGGCTGCGTTATTTATACATGTATAACATTTACAGGCAGTTTTGACGTTCATTTAATTTTTGCGTAATAACACTTGTTTGATTATTGTTTTTCTATAGTGACTGGTTTTAAATATTTATGAGAAATGTAGTACAAATATGAGTCATCAATTTTTAACCGTCACGCTGATCTGTTATGCAAAATAAGTTTAACTTTCTTGAGAAGCCAGGTAAATAATTCGTGCATGTTATTATGCAAGATGTGATTAAATTACATAATAAATATTCAAGGAAGCATTAAACAAAGTAAAGAAAATTAAAAATGAGATGTTTAGATATTTCCCATTATCACATATCTAAAGAATATATGATACAAATATAATATAAGCAGACTTTGTACTAAAACTAAAATAGATGAGATTTTATTATACACATCACGTCTGATCGAATATAGTTAAATTTAATTGTACCAAATATAATTATTTCGATATTTTGCTATTGCTCAACCTTATTGTAAAAACAATTATTTAACAACCTATACATCCGGTAGAAGACAGCAAAGTATGCCTTGGAACGAAAGTACCGAGCGTTACGAAATGTGCGTTTACCGTAAAAAAATTGGCTACGTGTGTGTGTCCAATATAAAAGAGTATGTCGTATGATTTCCTTGGATATGTTTTTTGCGAAAATATATACAGGGATTTTCAAAATCTCGAATTATCATACATTATTGCCCTCAATAACAAAGAGGACGTTTTTGTCTTTGAGATATCTATAATAAAATCACAATTTGAGATAAGAAAAATACCGGTTTAATAAAACATAGATACGCGCGGATATAAACATAATTCGAGCTAATCACTCTTCAATGCATATGACTGCATTGTCAAGATAATGATGGAAAGAAATGGCAAATGATAGCTTTAAATTTGTTTTACTGTTAGATAACTGCATCTCATAAATGTCTTATTACTCCTAGAAAGGAATATTATTTCGTTACTTAGGGAAGTTATGTTAGGAAATAAAAAAAAATGTAATGTTTTTTTGTGTGTTAAAATCAGAATCGTACATATGAAAAAGTATAATA